CCAGACAGCGCACAGAGAACATGTAGTTGCTAATCAACAACTATATGAAGAATTGATACAAAGTACAAATGATTTGCAACGGTGGTATTTTGGCTTCCAGTGTAGACAGCCTTTAGCTGTTGTGTGGACATTCGGTGTAAACACTCGGCAGTGATGGGAGCTTTCGAAACACTTCGTGATAGTCCAGGTGATATGTGAAAATAATGTTCACTTTTTCATAAAAGCATGAAAATCAAGGATTACAATGATACCATATATAGCAACATAAACTGTTCAGGAGAAGAGTTAATGGTGAAATCAGCTATGTGAGAAGGAAATAACAGTACCTGAGCATCACAGTATCACAGCATTACATATTATGGCTATTCATTTTTCTCTTTGATAATTAACTAATATTTTATTTATTAATACATTAAAAGGTTGTTTTCAAGAATACTATCATTTCAGAGATATAAAAAAAAAATAATCTCAGGTAAGTGTATTTTTTCTTACCTCTCGGGCAGAGTCAGGTAGGCGGTACACTCTTAAAAATAAAGGTGCTTCAAAAGGTTCTTCAAGCGATGCCATAGAAGAACCATTTTTGGTTCCACAAAGAACCATTCTGTCAAAGGTTCTTTAAAGAACCATCTCTTTCTTGCATTTTTTTTGTAATCTGAAGAACCTTCTTTCACCACAAATAACCTTTTGTGAAACAGAAATGTTCTTCAGATGTTAAAGGTTCTTTCTGGAACCATTTAGACAAAAAGGTTCTTCTATGGCATCGTGAAGCACCTTTATTTTTAAGAGTGTAGTATGTTTCCAATACATTAATTACATCCCTACTGTGTTATTCCTATGTATGTCTGCACTATGTTTGTACTTTCTTCTACACTGGAAGCTTCTGTCGTCAAGTCAAATTCCTTGTGTGTGTAAACATACTTGGTAATAAAGCTCTTCTGATTCTAATATTATCTACATCAACAAAAATGTCAATTCTTCATCTCAAGGATGAGACTTTTTTTTATACCAAGTCACTAGACCTGATCATTTACAGGACCTTTTTTTCAATAGTTTTGCCAGGAGTATAAAAATAGATATATTTTTTGTCATTCACGATCTGATATTGCTCTCGTTTCTCGCGTGTTCACATCTTATATCACAAACACATTACACTTTGATTCATCCTGGACTTAAAACAACAATAATTAAGAAATAATTGTGCCTAGTGTAAAGTGAGAGCTGGCACAAAAAGAAACACATTTGTCACATTAGTCAGATTGTATGCTAAATCTTTCACCGTACACAAACTCACAGAATTCGAGCGAAATAAAAAACATAATATTGGCCTACTAATATACATAATATAGGCTACATAATATAATAAACTTCTGTCAAATACGATGCAATTAGATCTGGCACATAATAAAATTGCGTAATTCTTCATTCGCTTTATCGATTGGAAAAGAGATTGTAGGCCTAGGCTATAATGTCTTACCATGGTCCGGAAAAAACAAACAGACTGACAGCAATATAAAGGGAAACTTCATTTTCACCACTTTTATCAGAAAAAAAATCCAATGTAGACTCAGACAAAAGTGCCTCACTCTTCCATACTAGTGACCACAAGTTAAAGTTAAAGTGAAAGTAACACAGTGTCTACACATAACAAAAGACAATAGAAGCCATTATAATCAGTGCCGCTGTCTCAACGGGAGGCGGCGCAGCAAGATAAATCTCCGACAGTAAACTGATGCTTTGTTTATGAAGAATTGATACAAAGTACAAATGATTTGCAACGGTGGTATTTTGGCTTCCAGTGCAGACAGCCTTTAGCTGTTGTGTGGACATTCGGTGTAAACACTCGGCAGTGATGGGAGCTTTCGAAACACTTCGTGATAGTCCAGGTGATATGTGAAAATAATGTTCACTTTTTCATAAAAGCATGAAAATCAAGGATTACAATGATACCATATATAGCAACATAAACTGTCCAGGAGAAGAGTTAATGGTGAAATCAGCTGTGTGAGAAGGAAATAACAGTACCTGAGCATCACAGTATCACAGTATTACATATTATGGCTATTCATTTTTCTCTTTGATAATTAACTAATATTTTATTTATTAATACATTAAAAGGTTGTTTTCAAGAATACTATCATTTCAGAGATATATAAAAAAAATAATCTCAGGTAAGTGTATTTTTCCTTACCTCTCGGGCAGAGTCAGGTAGGCGGTAGTATGTTTCCAATACATTCTTGTTCTCTCTCAACACTGCCCTAACATCACATGCGCATGGCAACGCAATCAGGTGAACAGTTAAGGTTAATTCAGTGACTTTATGAGAAGGATTACAATGAAATCTCAGAAGATGCAGAATGAAATTTCAAACATATTTCATGTAAACTTAATTTACAATCACTCTCTGGGGCCAGAGTTGTCTATCATGTTGTCCTCGGGGGGAAGCCAGAGTCCTGCATGCGCTTTCACCACAAATAACCTTTTGTGAAACAGAAATGTTCTTCAGATGTTAAAGGTTCTTTCTGGAACCATTTAGACAAAAAGGTTCTTCTATGGCATCGTGAAGCACCTTTATTTTTAAGAGTGTAGTATGTTTCCAATACATTATTGTTCTCTCTCAACACTGCTCTAACGTCACATGCGCATAGCAACGCAATCAGGTGAACAGTTAAGGTTAATTCAGTGACTTTATGAGAAGGATTACAATGAAATCTCAGAAGATGCAGAATGAAATTTCAAACATATTTCATGTAAACTTAATTTACAATCACTCTCTGGGGCCAGAGTTGTCTATCATGTTGTCCTCGGGGGGAAGCCAGAGTCCTGCATGCGGAGGGGTACATACAGGTGAATCGCTAATATTTGATGTAATGGGTGGAATAATATTTATGTGTAGGGTGTGGTGCGGGTGCTGTAGTGATTATATTAGAGGGAGCACTCTTTGCTTGCTTTCTGTATTTAATCTATTCACAATTTGAATAAAAGTTTTAATAAATTAGTTTTGTCTACCTCATGTAGGAGATTTAATGCAGGTGCGGTTCGGGTCCCTGTTTTTATGTCAAATGGGTCGGGTATGGGATTAAATTAGTTTTGCTGTCAGATAATGTGTTTGGTGCTCTGTTAATTACTGCGATTGTGGAAAGATCATTTCACCAGCCAGGAAAGGTGAACGAAAATGCCTCTCTGTGATGTTGCCACGAGGCATCGCTTACTTACAGATCTCAGGCTTCTGGAGGGGATGTAGATTCATGAGAGTGAGGAGGAAGTAGGAGGGTGCTGAGCCTGTGGCTGTTCTGTATGCAAACATCAATATCTTGAACTTGATGCGAGCCGCAACAGCTAGCCAGTGCAGGGGGATAAAGAGAGGAGTGAAATGGGCCCTTTTGGGCTCATGGAAGACCAGTCGTGCCGCTGCATTCTGAATCATTTGTCGAGGTTTGATCGTGCATGATGTAAGTCCAGCCAGAAGAGCATTGCAGTAGTCCAGCCTAGAAATGACAAAGGCCTGGGCAAGAAGTTGTGCAGCATGCTCTGTTTCGAAGGGTCTGATCCTCCGGATGTTGTGCAATGCAAACCTGCATGATCGAGCTGTCTTTACAACATGGTCCTTAAAGATCAGCTAGTCACCAAAGAATAATTTTTGATGAACCTAGCAGGATGATGAAATCATGCTGTAGAGTCGGAGTGGCAGGGAAAAAGAGGAGCTCAGGTGTTCCTTCATCCATGCCGAGATGTTTGCCAGGCAGCCTGAGATCCATGCAGCTACTGTTGGACTGTCTGGTTGAAATTAATAATAGAGCTGTGTGTCATTAGCATAGCAATGGTAGGAGAAGCCATGTGCTTGTATAATGGGTCCCAGTGATATAGTGTATATGGTGAAGAGGAGGGGTCCAATAATTGATCCCTGAGGAACCCCAGTGACCAGTTGATGTTCTTTGGATACCTCTCCTCCCCAGGAAACCCTGAAAGATCTACCTGTGAGATAAGATTAGAAGAGAAAAGTAAAATGGTCGCCATGGCAACCACAAGGCGTTTTTGCGATGGCTCCATTTCTGAAAGTGTTCAGGGCCCTAACTTGTACAATTGTACCAAGTTTTGTGCTTTTATGAAAAAGTGAACATATCACCTCAAATTTTGCACATATCACCTGGACTATGAAGCTTATGAATCGTTTCGATTCAGTTGTTCGGAACTCGTATCAAACTGTAGCCTATCAAATTGGTTTCGAAACATTTCGAAATACCGAAGTTTCGCCGCCAGATTGCATTGATCTGGTTAATCCATGAAAGAGTGTCCCTTGACTCTTTTCTTTTTTCTTAAAAATTAATTAATTAATTAATTAAAAAAGCAATTGTCTGAGCCCGTTTGTGACCGTTTTCTCAGCTTCCTGCATGAAGTCATTTTCCTGTGGCTCTATTGTAATTAATTCCATAGGATATATGCTTCATACACACAAAAAGAAAAAGTCCAGAACTCTTCACTACATGCACAAGTTGTTTGTTCACCCAACAGATCAAACAACATTATTTCTGTAGAAATCAGACCACAGCAGGTTTCCGTTTGACTTTGAAGTGCTTTGAAGTGAGCTGAAGTGTTAGCGTGGTTGTGTAATGATGTGAGAGGGTGACCGGTTTCAACGTTTTTGTTTCGCCGAACATAACAATTAATAATCAAATTATTATTAGCTATTTTAAAACCAATTACCTCTGTTATCATTAAATTAAGGGAGATCCATTCAATATTCTTCTACTTACTTGGTTAACATAGACAGGCAATTTAAAAACGGTCATATATCATTTAATCAATGTTAAATTATAAGGAATTAGGAATGTATTAAAATCTTATTAAGGGCTAGAAGAACATTTATGTATACATAAAATGTTAAATACCATATAAATATACACAACGTGTTCAAAAAGTGTGAGGATGATATATAGGAGGGTCAGACATAGGGGCGGATTCAGGTTCACACGTCAGATTAACAGAGTGCTTTTGGTGGATAGTGGTACTAGTTCAGACAAAGAAGATGTTTTATATGTTTGTTTTGTTCAGTTTGTGCTGGCGGTGTCTGATTGGTAAGTTATAAAAGCATTTTATGCCTTAATTTTTATCCATTTCAGAGCAACAAGCCACTGCTACTGTTTAAATGTGTCTATTTTCGTGAGACATCATCTCATTTGAATTCAGGTCTTGGTTTGTGATTTCCATTTGGGAGTTCCTCAAATTTATGAGTTCCAGGCTTAGAAAAGTCATGGAAATTAATAGAAATGTTCATAATTTTCCATGACTATAACATTTTATTTTGGAAATTTCAAGTGAATGTAAACTAATGGAGGCTCAGAGATCCTGAGTAGCTTTCAAATTTCTGGTCTTTTTTGTTGGTTACAAATGTCCGCTGCACCGTTGTCAGCCATAACTATAACTATATTTAAAAAGAAAAATACTTTAGTTAATCATAAACAAAAGGAAATGGAAAATCATTGGTCAAAAAGTGAGTGAAGTGAGTAAGATTTGATTTTTTTTTACCCATCTAAATATCACAAATATAAAAATCCCCTTTTTATAAAACAAGTACATGAAAGTCAGGGACAAAATTTAAACTTGTAGCCTACTTTCAAGCTGTACTTAACTTGTGTGACTGCACAAATGTATTGTACTCTACAGCTTATAAAACACCATATCTCTCTTATTTGTTTCTGCTGCTGTTCTTCAGTTTACAACTCAATGTTACAACCTAGAGCTGATGTGATGCTTTATAAACAACAGGAACCTTAATAAATGAATTTTATTTTTGTCTTTATCAGTTGTGTTTGGTGAGACAGTGTCAGTGATGGAGGGAGATTCTATTACTCTACACCCTGATGTTACTGAAATACGAGAAGATGACGATATAGTGTGGAAATATGGAGCTGAAAAGTCTCATGTAGCTCAAATAAATAGAGATGCTAAAGTCTGCTCCACATCTGATGGTCCTGATGGGAGATTCAGAGACAGACTGAAGCTGGACTATCAAACTGTATCTCTGACCGTAACAAACATCTCAACTCAACATGCTGGAGACTATGAACTAGAGATAAATGGAGAAAAGCTGTCATCAAAAACATTCAGTGTTTCTGTCTATGGTGAGTAGAGATAATGTGTCCTGTCCTTTGAATGTTCTTATTTTATTACTTACATACTGAAAAGTTCACTCATTTTATAGTTTGAATGACAGACACACTAAATAGTGACGATTGTTGATTAGATTCATCAGGTTTCTGTTTATTCTCTTATGTGTTCAGCTCGTCTGCCTGTTCCTGTCATCAGCAGAAACTCTTCACAATGTTCTTCATCATCGTCATCACAGCAGAATTGTTCATTGGTGTGTTCAGTGGTGAATGTGGGTCATGTGACTCTCTCCTGGTACAAAGGAAACAGTTTATTGTCCAGCATCAGTGTGTCTGATCTCAGCATCAGTCTCTCTCTACCTCTGGAGGTGGAATATCAGGATAAAAACACCTACAGCTGTGTGCTCAACAATCCCATCGGCAACCAGACTCAACTTCTGGACATCAGTGAACTCTGTCACACATGTTCAGGTACAGCAGCGCTGATATATGTGATTATTTACTAACCTGATCTCTATATTTTTTTATAGATCAGATTGACACAATCACTTTTACAATTGCATTACTGCCTCTCTTTAGATGCTGCAGCACAGTCTTCTTCTCATCCTCCAGTCTCTCTGATAGTGTTGATTTCTGCTGCTGTTGCTGGATTTCTGTTGATTGTAGCTGCATTTGGGATCTTCTGCATCTGTAGAAAACACAGAAAAACTGGTCAAGAAGGCAAGTGTTACCTACTGCTTTTAAGAAGTATTATAACACATATCTATATAATTTCAAATTTTTCAATCTGCATCAAAACAAAAATGCAAATCTGCCTTAATTCAATAATAAATCAACTTCTTACAGACTTTATGAATATAATCTGACCAGTGCAAAGACGAAGAGCTCCACTGGTGTTCAAATTAAGATTTTCATGAAAATTTCACTGATGGGTGATTCTTCATTTGTTGAGCTTCTGTGAAAATGAAATTTCATTAAAAATTTTAAAAAAAGAAGCATATAATGTATAAGCTATCTGCAAAGAATGTATTTGCAACGTGAATTGGCCACATCGTAAAATATGTACAAATTGCTATGAGATTGGGTTGGTATTTTGAATAATAATAATGATAAATGCATACTCTGCTAGAACTAGTGTGAGAGAAACAGTTTTAACCCTAAAAGGGGCGACATATCCTGGGGGATAGAAACATCTGAGAAGCTGTGGGGAGAAGCAGTGAAAGCATAGGTCTCATTTCTTGGTTTCATCTTGAAAGGGCCTATAGTGGGAAATCTACTCACTCTCCGATAAAAGTTGATCTAGTTCACATATTTACACACGTTGGAGGGGACTTAGCTGTTTAAATAGCTGTTGTTCAGCATTAGCTTATTAGGTTTACATTGAAATGTTATAAATTAAATGCTTACATTTTTTGTAAACTGTCTCTAAATGTTTGTATCTCAGGGGATACATCGCCCTTTTAGGGGTATAAATCAAGATATAAAACATACATATAGACTGTGTGACTTTGTGGCTTGTGTTTTAGAAAATCTAATCGTTTTGTAATCTTGACCAGACTGTCCTCCAACAAAAAAACGACCCTATAGGTCATTTGTGCAAGCACCTTATTACGACCTATATTTACCTTTTAAAGTGCCCTCTAGCGGGTGTAAAAATAATGACAGTGTCGTGTTGCGTCTGTCGTCATGAAATGACGTATGACTGTCATTACCAATCAAAATGTGTTTATTTAAATGCAATTTGTGGACTTTTTACATGGTCCAACCATAGACTCTATAAAAATATGGACGTAGTGTCCGTGACGTCACCCGTAGTTTTCTGAAGAGCGTTTTGAAGCCTAAACTGAGCGGAGCAGGCCCAAAATTTGCTATATAGACCAAAAGCACTTTTTGTACCAGGCTATAAACATATTTTTTTCTACTGTAAATTTGGGCATTTTAACATGGGGAGTCTATGGGACTGACTCCATTTTGGAGCCAGCCTCTAGCAGCCAGTCGATGAATTGCAGTTTTAGTCACTTCCGTGTTGGTTTCACGAGAGAGACCGGAAGGCTGCCGCTTGGGTCCAACCCGATCTCACGGCAATTTGCTAGGTGGCTAATTCATACGACTTCGTATGAATGACCACACCTAACCCCGCCCCTAAACCCACCCTCACAGAATCAATCAAAAATCGTGATATACAGTGCATATAGGTAGTCAACAAATAAAAATTGGACTGTGTCCTATGGTGTGACAGAAAAATTTAGAAAAAAAACTTAACATACAAATAACATGAGAAAAAAGTACCTTCATTCTTAGAGTTACAAATAGCATGAGAGAAGTTCATCTTCAATGTTAGAGTTTTTTTTTTTACATTTTTCCGTCACACCATATAACACATTGATACATCAACTACCCATCTACGTTTTATGAGAATGTGCATTCCTTGGGATCAAACCCATGATCACATGATTGCATGTTGTCTTATAACACAATGCTCTACCAACTGAGCTATACGAAACCCAAATTATGGCAAAGCATTTGCCATACAAAGCATTAATATGAAAGTGTCCTGTTGCCGATAGGGGCGCATTTGTAGTATACGCTCTGATGGGTCGTATTTCAGGGATTTGGACAAACGACCTATGCGGGCATATTGGTTGGAGGACATGTTGCCTTGACAAAACACATATCGTTGGAAAGGTCTGACAGTCAAGATTCCATATTTGGTGACTGTTTTGTAACAGAAGCCATATTGTGACAGAAAATGCTTGATTTGTGATAGAAACGGGGAAGTCGTGGCCTAATGGTTAGAGAGTCGGACTCGTAACCCAAAGGTTGTGCGTTCGAGTCTCAGGTCCGGACGGGAATTGTAGGTGGGGGAAGTGAATGTATAGCACTCTCTTCCACCTTCAATATTACGAATGAGGTGCCCTTGAGCAAGGCACTGAACCCCCAACTGCTCCCCGGGCGCCACAGCATAAATGGCTGCCCACTGCTCCGGGTGTGTGTTCACGGTGTGTGCGTGTTCACTGCTGTGTGTGTACACTAAGGATTGGTTAAATGCAGAGCACTAATTCCTAGTATGGGTCACCATACTTGGCCACATGTCACATCACGTCACGAAAACTGCATTAGAAAAATTCAATAGAGTTTGGGTGTCACCCAGTGGTTGTTTTTGGTATAGTGCCCAAAGAAAATCTCACAGGAACCACAATTTTTGTGATATCAACTTCAAATTTGGAACATAAATCGGTTAGACATATGGCTTTGATTTTATAGACACCATACTTGGCCACATGTCACATCACGTCACGAAAACTGCATTAGAAAAATTCAATAGAGTTTGGGTGTCACCCAGTGGTTGTTTTTGGTATAGTGCCCAAAGAAAATCTCACAGGAACCACAATTTTTGTGATATCAACTTCAAATTTGGAACATAAATCGGTTAGACATATGGCTTTGATTTTATAGCCATTTTAGAGTGCAACATATTTTATAAAATATTTATTTTATATAAAATAAAAACAATTAGTATACTACATTATCTTTACTGTAAACTTAAACTTTTATAACTTTTATAACTTCTTTTTTTTTAAATGCTATGTGTCTTCTTTAAAAAGAGACCAACCTTAGGGCTGTACTCCAAAGCGTTCAGGAATTACAACCATGTTGTTACAAGCATTGATAAACAAGTGTTCTGTTTCCAGTGAATTTATACCCCCAAAGGAGCAACGTATCCTGGGGGATACAAACATAAATAACAAATATAAGAGTCAAGTTTTTAAAAAAATCATGACATTTTATTATTTGAGTCCCAATAAGATGGAAAATAGCATTAAATTAATTTTCTGATGTCTCTTTATGGGTTTGCCCATTTTAGGGTCAAAGTCAAACTGAATTAATTTGTTAATGCAATTGCATTTTGTTATTTAAATTGCATGCGTTAACAATCTAACTTTGACAGCCCTACTAACAGTGATGAAAAAGATTTAGTAAAGATTGTGTTAATGCATATGTTATTATTGTTGTGCAGATGAGGTCACTTATGCTGACCCAACGTTCTACAAAAGAAACACACAGAAATCGGTAAGATCATTTATGACTGTGTATGCATCAGTTCAGCGGTGAGTCAGATTTAGATGTGTGTTCTTGTCAGTATAATAAAACTTGATGTCCAATGTTACATAAAAGCACTGAAGCAAAACCAATGATGTAGATGCAGTAGATGTTTGACGGCATTAACTCAAGCTGGTAGATTACCAGAAATAAGGAGCTGAATCTGATCAATATTATTCGAAATTTTAGAATCTCAAATCTATGGAAGCTTGTTTCTATGGAAAGCTGTTTCCACCACTTTTTTTTCATGCAATTTTTAGTTTATATCTCACAATTCATCATTTTTAGTTTATAACTCACAATTGCAGGAAACAAAGTCGCAATTGCCTTTTTACTTTCTCTATTTTATGGTAGAAAAAAACAAAAAGGTAAACTCAGAATTCAAAGAAAATTCTGAATTGTGAGATATAAAGTCATAGCTACCATTGAATTATTTATTTTTTTTACTTTTAGGGCAGAAACAAGCTTCCATAAATAATCTTCCATACAGAATAAATATTACTTTTTTTTGTATTTACATTTTTTAAATTCTTCTTATATTTTTGTTTTTACAGGAGATAAAAGCGGAACATCATTGTGAAGAGGATGACGTTGTGTATGAATCTGTTTTCATAAGTAGATCAAACTTAAACCTTTCTTCTGAACACCAGATCCCGCTGTGTGAACGCTTTTACTAAGAACCTAATATATCAGGAAATCCCAGCAGACACGAAGCAGAATGATTCTGAAGGGTCTGAAGTATGACATTCAGAGATGGACTAATCAAAAGACTTTGCTTTGTAGTTCTATGACTTCTAATAAATGATCTAAATCGTGTGGCTCATTGGAGTGTTTCATGTTTGACATTTAAAGCTTGTTTTGATCTCTTTGGTGGAAAAACATCTTTTGCGTGAGCATTGTCTATTACTGGTGGGTTGTGGTCAGTTTATGATCTTGATGTGTGATTAGCGTGTGGTTGAGGGGTGTTTTTCCATTCCAATGCACATGATGCAAACAGTTTGACTTCTGCTTTACACAAACAGTTTTATTCCTAAAATACTGCACCCATCAATTCTGAAAGGTCTCAAATCAAACTGTAAAATATGAAAATATCATAGACTTTGTGTGTATAAGCCTCATGACGTTCAATATATATACTCATGCTGTGATCCTGCTGATAACTGCTAGTTTCAGTAGTTATTTTTTAGCTTCAGCAATAGGAGGAGTTGTTGTTTCTAAGAAGAATTATTCTAGACATCACACCTTTGTTTTATAAAGAACACCCTGTTTTTGTCTGCTAATCTCTGTGAGTGATTTTAAGAATAAATGCAATGTATGATTCACTGTTGTGATATCCTTGTACAGGCATCAGCTGAAATGGCCGCAGACAAAAAGGGGTCAGAAAAATCGGCCTGACACAAAAAGGTATTTTAGAGGTCTGAAGATGTCCTATAATGCATCCTGTACAGCTGTGGTTATTTCAGCAGTTTGTAGGCGTGTAATGTGTCACCTGAGTCTTAATGCCATGTGACTGTTGACTGCTGAGGGAAAAAAACACAATACACAGCAGATCTACTTCTGTAAGATAAGATGTAGCTATATATAGATCTCACAGTAAAGAACCAATGGTTTGGTTTTAGTGAGTAAGAACCGGCTCCAAATTATTTATGAACTGTCTGAACCATTTAAACCATTAAAAGAATTAATCATTTAAAGAATCGCGAACCGATTCATACCATATTGCTAACCCATTTGACCAATACATTAAAAGGAACTAACTCAAATGAGAGATTCATTTATAAATTGAGAATTGACTGTCAGTGCTAATTAATATTTTAGCTACTGAAATGTGATCTAAAAGCGGATGCTAACACTATGGTATTGACTATAAGTCGCTATCTTTGCCACATGTAAGATTTGTAGATGGTGATAGATTATGAGTGTGATTATTATACTTTTGGCCTTAAGTGCAAAGAGCCCGCATTGTTACACAAACTCCGCCCACCAATATTTGGTTGGGATAAACAACATTATAATCGTTATTTGCACTTAGTGTAAATAGCATGTTATATATATATATATATATATATAAACATTTTTATATTGTGTAAAGACCACTACACCGTTCTCTTGGAAGATAACACAAATTCACAGAAGGAAAAATAAATGAACAGTAATATACACACCTTTTTACTTTAATAATCAGTGATTTGATTTGAATTTTAACTCATAAATGGCCCCATCTGGTGGGTTTTTAAAGAACAGCCGCTAACAGCATTATAGCATTATAGCACTGGGAGCTCAACCATCTCAGATTGGAGGCATGTTTTTGTTTGTTTGTTTGTTAAAACTGACTTTAAAAGCAAAGACTACAATGAAATGCCAGAGATCTCATTATGAACAAACATTTCTCAAATCTCACAGGCAGCCAAATTTCAACTTTATTTTGGTTCAACTGAATTAATCAGGGAGGGTGATCCACTGAATGTAAGCAGCTCAGTTTGAGTCGAGTTAAACCTGCTGTGGTCTGATTTATCTTCATCTAATGTGGTTTGATCTGCTGGTGGACAAACAGCTCCTGCATTAGCTTGTCTATTATTAGATGAATGCGGTCAGTGAGTGTCAGTAGTTTGTGGCTGAAGCGTTTCTTCATTTTCTCTCCTGTTAATATGAACCAAACATTCTGACTTCTGTTCCATATAAAACATATTTACAGTTAAATCAAATGAATCCAACAGTCAATTAAGAGTCAGTAGTCAAACACGATATTCTCCTGCATCATTAATACACTACACAGATTGGCAGCTGATCATCTTCACAACACTCTATACAAATATCTAAATTAAAATTCATGACTTTAACGCATGAATTTCACTATTCTGCTATTAGTTTTCAGACCAGAATTAATTTGAAAATATAAAAATCATAAGTCATTTTCATGACTTCCTGTGTTAAAGGAAATGGTCGTGTGAGAATAAACTGTGACAGAGGTTCAGACTTGTTGAGGAAAGACCACAAACACACACAGCATCAGTTCAGACATTATAAGGGTTACTATCATAGGATTTAAGTGAACTGATGAAGAAAATGATTCTGAAATTAGTTTTGTTCAGTGTGTGGTGTCTGGTTGGTGAGTTTGAAATGTGTTTTTATGACTTCAGTTGCATTTGTTCTGCTACCATGTAAAACATACTGATTAAATGATGTAAGGCATCAAGTGATTTTTAAGATTTAATCTGTGACAAACTCTTCATCAGGTGTGTTTGCTGATACAGATGCAGTGGAGTCAGTGTCAGTGCTGGAGGGAGATTCAGTCACTCTAAACTCTGGTTTTACTGAAATGATGGATGATGATCTGATTCGGTGGAGGTTTGGATCTGAAAACACTTTAATAGCTCAAATCAATGTAATGGCCGGCAGCATCACTGTATATGATGATGTTCTTGATGAGAGATTCAGAGACAGACTGAAGCTGGACGATCAAACTGGATCTCTGATCATCACAAACACCACAACTCAACACGCTGGACTCTATCAACTACAGACCAACAGTGTGAGCAAGAGCTTCAGTCTCACTGTCTATGGTGAGTTACTGTAAATATCAGTTTCTTTTATTTTGTTATAGCTTTAAAGTATATACAGCCTTTCAGTCTTAAAAATAATAACATCTGAGATACACATTCATTTTCGACTTTAATTTTAAACCTATTAAACAGTTTTCTTCAGACAGTGTAATAAAAAAAAAACTGAAATCACAAACACTCACTGAATGACATCACAGAATCTCACTCAGCACAACAAACAGCATGATTTACTCTGAAGTTTCTAATATTTAATATTTCTCAGCTCGTCTGCCTGTTCCTGTCATCAGCAGTAACTCTTCACACTGTTCTTCATCATCATCATCATCATCATCATCATATTGTTCATTGGTGTGTTCAGTGGTGAATGTGAGTCATGTGACTCTCTCCTGGTACAAAGGAAACAGTTTATTGTCCAGCATCAGTGTGTCTGATCTCAGCATCAGTCTCTCTCTACCTCTGGAGGTGGAATATCAGGATAACAACACCTACAGCTGTGTGCTCAACAATCCCATCAGCAACCAGACTCAACATCTGGACATCACTGAACTCTGTCTCACATGTTCAGGTACAACAGCACTGCTACAATTCACATTTATGAATCAATTTGTTGATTTTACAAAAACTGATAACTTAAGATGCCAGAAAGGATGTGTTTTTGTCATCATTGACTCGTGTCTTTCTAAAGGTGTTTTTTTTTTTTCTTGGAGCACAAAAGGAAGTCTTGCAAATATATTTCTTGATATAGGCTATATGTTTTTTGATTAAAATGTTTGAGTCCCTAAATCAATTTTATTATTGCTCTCTCTCTCTCTTTATAATTACTACTAACTCATTACTTTTTTTCCAGAAGTGCATGGCTGTGATACTATCGAGCCTGTGATCCGATTGGTCGTCACTGCTCTGATGGGCGTGGCTGCTGCAGCTGCTGCTGTTCTTCTGGTCAATGACATCAGATCTACAAGAGGTTAAAAGAAAACAGAACGGATATCATAGCTATTCAGTTATATGTTGGAATCTTAATCTTTAGAGATTAAAATATATGTGGTCTAATTGTTTAATGATGGCGAGACGAAGCTTTGCTTTCCAGTGCCTCTGAACGAGATCATATAAAGGTTCATTACCTGAATGAATCCTTTCGATATGGTGTACGTTGGGACCATCTGGTGGCTAGAATTATGAATATTCTTCTATATTTGAAGAGTTCATTTGCAAAAACAGATAACTCTGTTTTTAACCATTTTCAAAAACTATATTTTTCATTGTGCATTCCAATGAATCTCAATCAAACTGCAGTTGGGTTAATTTGATTAAGTAAATAAAACAAATATAGCTAACTAAAACAACAAAACACAATAAAACATGATAACATAATAAAAAACATGATTTTTGAAAACTTTTAAAAAACTGAGTTATCTGTTTTTGCAAATAAACTCTTCATTTGTTTTATTTTGTAGTGACATCAATTTCATATTTATTTGCTAATTGCACTGTTATTTTCTTAATTTATGTTTTGTTGCTTTGATATTTTAATTTTGTTTATACACAGAAACACTGCAAATGCTTGCAATAAAATATGAATGTAAAAATATTTGTCATACTAACAAAGATTCGTCGAGAGAGAGATCTATGAATCTATATTTTTAACTAAGCTAGTGACATGATAACAAACTATGACTTTAGACAATTCTACTCAGTTGGTCTGTATATCAACTGATGTTTGAAGTGCATTAAGTATTATTAGGTAATCTTCAAATTATGGCATGGCATTCTTGCCGAATTCTGGATTCAAACAATGTAATTCTGCCCAGCCCTGAGTAAGACTTTGCATGGCGAATACTTTGATTCAGATCGGGACTTCGGAGCGTGTATCGTGATTTCTATTTCTTTTTTAACCAAACAGCAGGCTACAAAACATCAAACCATTAAGGCAGTACAGTTATAAAAAAGAAAATGGTTTTATTAACCTCTTCAGCTCTGCTAAATTAAAAATGCATGGAGTCAAGGAACTTTGCTGCCGTACTATGGGTGCAGCAGGCGCAATTATATTATTATTTTCAGGCGCTGCGTAATATCACTGCGCCTGCTGCACCCATGGTACGGCAGCAAAGTTCCTTGATTATTACGCCGGAATGAGAGTATAATTCCTAGCCATATCGGCCTAGAAAATCGCAACTTTTCATTTTCCGTCGATCTTAGTACACGATGTAACTACAGAAGAGTCAAGTTTTAAATAGGAAAAATATCTAAACTCTTTGGTCATTTTTGAGCGAGATGCTAACGGTCTAATCAGATTCAATGATCTATGCTAAGCTACAGCTAAAAGTGCTACCGCCAGACCCGGAGATCGGCTGAATGGATTTGAAAACGGTAAAACTCAACTGTTTAACTCTAGGGGAGTTGGAAAATGAGCCTATTTTCAAAAATAGTGGTGTGTTCCTTTAATGGCCATGTATTATGGAGTGCTTTTTAGGTCTATTTAAATGCTATAAATTATTACTATTTGAGCCAATTATATTCTCATGTAAAGATTTGTTAAAAGAAGCATATTCTGTACATACTTTAAGTAGCCTACTTTTTTGGGGGAGTATCTGTACCTTACTTGAGTTTTTATATTTCAGCCAACTTTTACTCCACTACATTTCCTAATTAAAATATATACTTTTACGCCGATACATTTCCCCGAAGCATATTCTATGGAGACAGAGAAGTGCAAAAAAAAATCACAATTCTGAAAAAAAATAAAATTACAAATGCAAATGCAAAAAAAAAAAAAAAAAAAAAATTTCAAAA